ACCATTCTACTCTCTTTCAAACTCTGTAATGTTGTTTTAAGTAACTCAAAATCAAAAGCTTCAGGATGATCAAAATTATATTCGTGCAGCGATTTCATGCTGTTTTTCATTTAATACCTGTAACAAAAAAAAATAAATATATTATTGTTTATTTCGATTTAGTTTTAAAGAATAGTACTTATAACAAATTTTTCATACTTTATAAAATGAGTCCATACTAAGAAGTGTTACCCAAAGTACATCTAGAGATTCTATAATTTTTGTTGTAAATGTAGTCCTTCCAGATGCACTGCCTCCACAAATACCTAAAAATCATAATATCTTCAGTTAATAACATCATATGTATAATTTTCTTTTAAAATAATATATATATATTTTTATTGTTACCAATCAATTAGAAAAGGTTCTAATTGTTGATTAGCTGAATTATACCATGGTAGTCTATCAGCTGTGTATATTGTTTTTGTTTTACTTCTAAAAATAGATTCTACAGAAGTTTTTTTTGATAAACTAGTAATACATTGTCTCCTCGATCTAGGTGATCTCTGTGAATCTAACAAATAAAAAAGAAAAAAATAATTCTTTTAATTTATTTTTAAAATTATACAAGATTGTGTTAAATTAAAAATTGATTAAATTAAAAAGATATATAAATAATCAAAACAAAACTTAATAAAAATCAACAATAAAAATTATTTTAATCTATAGGTGGTATGGTAAAGAATAAAAGTACTTTTGGAAGTTTTAACTGATTTCTTCAAATTATAAAAAGACTCTACTTCAGTAAACCAGGTACATCCTGTTTGCCAAACACAGGTATTCCAAGTCAATGATTCTGTAAATAATATTTATATATAATATTTATATTATAAATTAATATATCATTTATTTAATCACCAAGAAACTCAAATAAAAAAATTTATATTACAAGAAGTGAGTTTGAATAAAAAAATTTCATTTGTAGAAGGTGGTCTCGGAGATTGCGGTGTTAGAGTCCTGATATCAAAACGTCTATAATGTTCAGCATCTTCGCATAATTCGTCAACAAGGAAAATTTCTTTTTCACCCAAACAAACTTCATCATCACTAAATTATAAAATTATATTATAAAATTCAATGAATATACATTATAATTGATGAAATATATAGTGAAATGAAATACTATTACTTTTCTGAACTTGCCGAACTTGGCGGATCAAAATGCTGCATTTTAGCTATCATGTTCTCAATTACGTGTAATACAAATTAGAGTGCATTCACGGCATATGGCAAATGA